CTCCCCCGGTCCTCCTTACTGACTCCCCTTCCTTGGCCCGTTGCCCACTGGCGGCACTCCCCCGGTCCTCCTTACTGACTCCCCTTCCTTGGCGCTTCCTTGGCGCGTTGCCCGCTGGCCGCGCTCCCTGGGGCTTAGCCGTCACCTACCTCAGTGGACACCGTGGTGTCCTTCCTGGGAGATGATGCCCAAACAAGCATCAGACAGCTTGATCTCCACCAGACCCTGAAAACTCACTTCCTGCGTTCCTCTGAGCCATTTCCTCTGGGTTACCCAGCTGTTAGCCTAAGTGTTGGCTAGTTAGTGGGTCGGTTAGTTAACTAGTTGCCATTGAGTCAGCTGACTCATGGAGATGGCATGGACAACCGAACGTTGCCGGGCCCTGTGCCGTCTTCACTGTCCTTGGTGTGCTTGCGTCCATTGTCGCGGCCACTGTGTATTCTGAGCGCTTTCCAGTGTTGGGCAGCCCTGGTGGCCCCGTGCTTAAGAGCTCGGCTGCTAACCAAAGGGTCAGCCGTTTGAATCCGCCAGCTGCTCCTTGGAAACCCTGTGGGGCGGTTCTACTCTGTCCTGTTGGGTGGCTATGGGTCAGAATCAACTCGTCTGCAAGGGGTTTGGTTTGGGTTCTGACCTCGGGGGCTCACTTTCAGCAGTATGTCGGACCATATCCCACGATCCATGGGGTTTCCACTGCCTGGTTTTCAGAAGTCGGTGGCTCACCAGGCGTACACCTAAGTACAGTCACCCAGTGACCTGGCACTCATTCAGTGCTTCCCCGCGCAGACACTGTTACATTGTGGAGACGTGCAGATGACTCAGGCACAGTCACCACCCTTTGGAGCTCACAAACCAGTGAGACTTTGAAAGAAACACAGAACTGATGTCGCTGCCAAGACAGACATTGATTCTGGCAACAAGAGACGCGGGCAGGTGGGCTCGTCGCCCCCCCCGCACCCCGGCCGGGCCGGGATTGTAGGCCCGGCAAGCGTGGCAGGCCAAGCAGTCACCAGCCTTGGCGGTGCACCTGGCCGTTACAGGCTGGGGAGGCACCAACCTTCAGAATGTGGAAATGAATGCATTTTATAAACTGCACACATACACTAATAGGGAATCCATTTTTAAAACATAACCAGAAATAGAAACTTGGAAGGGACCAACTCCAAAGTAACCATAAATATAACAGGGGATCTAAATTAATGGTAAATATGACCAGAAATAGAAACTTCAAAGGGACCAACTCCAAAGTAACCATAAATATAACAGGGGATCTCAATTAATGCTAAATATGAATTTAAAAAAAAACCCTGATGCTGTCGAGTCAATTCCTACTCATAGTGACTCTATAGGACAGAGTGGAACTGCCCCCACAGGGTTTCCAAGGAGTAGCTGGTAGATTCGAACTGCTGACCTCTTGGTTAGCAGCAGCTGAGTTCTTAACCACGGCACCACCAGGGCTCCGAATATGAATTAGGAATAGTAAACATTACATAAGTTAACAGTAGCTATAAACAGGAGTTCTCACCCTCTCCATGGGAAGTCTTTGCTTCTTCCTCCCTCCCAGCTCCATACCTGCTGTAATGCCCTTGTCTTCTGGAATTCTCCAGACACAGGAGGGTGTGGTCTTACCAGAACCAGGGGAGCTGTGGCTTCCTCAGTCAGGGAACCAACCCACCCAACCCTGGTGTCAGTGGCATTTCTACACAGAATAGCACCTATGACATCTGTTTTAAATTGCCGAATGCTGTCTCACGGCTGGAAACTGGAATGGCCAATAGGAACCGCTCATTGGCACACACCCCCAGGTGGCACCTGGGCATGTACCATACCTGCTGTACCCTAGATTACCTCTGCCTGGCACAACATGGGGAGGGGACCTCTCTCGTCTGCCCTCTGGGCGTCCACCATCTGTCTAACTGGTCAACCCCGATGGCAGCCTCCCGGAGCCAGGCCCGCAGAGAAGGAACAGATGTGGAGGGGCACACGGAGAGTAAGGAGCCGGCCCCTCCTCACAGCCGGCTCTGGTCGGCGGTTTCTGGGCTATGCTTGGTCGGCTGTGGCCCATAGTCCATGGGATGTTTTTAGCTTGAAGATGTCTGAGACTCAGCCAGTGTTCCCTAGTGTCTCCTCTGGCTGCACCAAAAAGAATTTGTGTCCAAGACTCCATTGAGATGGGATCTGGTTGTGTGTTGTAGAGTCGATTCCAACTTGTAGCGGCCCCATGTGACAGAGCAGAACTGCCCCATAGGGTTTCCTTGGCTGTAATCTTTATGGGAGCAGATCTCCAGGTCTTTCTCCCACAGAACCAATGGGTGGGTTCAAACTGCCAGCCTTCCGGTTAGCAGCCGAGCCCTTAACCATTGTGCCACCAGGGCCCTGAGATGACATGTGAGTTCCTGCAAAGTCTCTGCAGTGCACGCGCGCGCGACGTCATCTTGGCGCGTCCCTTCTGCCCGGGGCGTGTGTGGGGGTGCACGGGTCTGTGGAGCCCTAACGCCCTGTGTGTGCACTGCAGGAGCCCGAGAGGCAGTACCTGCACATCGGCACCATGGTGGAGTTTGCCTTCGCGCTGGTGGTGAAGCTGGAGGCCATCAACAAACACTCCTTCAACGACTTCAAGCTGCGAGTGGGTACGCTGTGCGGTGGCGGATCCAGCTGGGGCGTGGCCCGGGGAGTGAGGGTGTGGGGATGTCTGATCCTCCAGGGGATGATGGGGTGGAACCATTACAAGTGCTGTCTGGGGCGCCAGGACTGGGTTGCAGCTGCCAGCCCCTGGAGCACTTTTGCACAAGCTAAGAAAAGATATCCCCTATTCCTTCGGGCGGGAGCCCTGGTGGTGCAGTGGTTAAGAGCTCAGTTGCTAACCAAAAGGTTGGCAGTTTGAATCCACCAGCCACTCCTTGGAAACCCTATGGGGCAGGTCTACTCTGTCCTCTAGGGTCACTATGAGTCAGAATCGACTCGACGGCAGTGGATTTTGGTTTCTGGTATCCCCTTTGGTTGGATGCAAGGAGTCCTGGTGGTGCAGTGGTTCAGAGTGCTCAGCTGCTAACCAGAAGGTGGGTGGTTGGAACCCACCAGCCACTCCATAGGAGAGATCTGCTCCCTTAAGGATTACAGCCTTGGAAGCCCGAGGGGGGCAGTTCTACCCTGTCCTGTAGGGTCACTATGAGCCGGAATCCACTCACTAGCAAGGGGTCAGTTGGACGCAGGCAACAGGCACCAGTCTGGCAAGTAGAGCCAGCGCTGGACCTCAGTCCCCCGCCCCTGTCCAGCCCGGGTCCCGTCTGTGAGGCACAGCCTGCCCAGCCCGAAGCGGCCCTGCAGAGCCAGTGACTGTAACTCCTCGTCAGACAGCCGCTCGATCATTCCACGGACCACTGCCAACGGGACTAGGGCCCGCAGCTGTCAGGGAGGGAGAGATGTGAAGGAGAAATGTGCATCTTGGAATTGTTGGAATGCAGTCACACTTCTGGGTCACGACCTACAAGATCACCAGACATGTGTCTGAGTCCGAATCTGAGAGAAAAATCCAGCTTTCTATAAGAGAAAAAAAAAAACTTTGTTGAAAAAATAGAGTTCCTGACTTCTAGTAAGTTCTGCACTTACTTTCAGTTGGATCTGTAGCGTGTGCTTGGAGTCCCTGGGTGGTGTAAACAGCGTACGAGCTTGGCTTCTAACAGAAAGGTTGGAGATTCGAATCCACCCAGAGGCTCCTCAGAAGAAAGACCTGGGGATCTACTTCTGAAAAATCAGCCGTTGAAAACCCTCTGGAACACAGTTCTACTCTGACACACATGGATGGGGTCTCCAAGAGACAGAGTTGACCTCCGACGGCAACTGGTTTGGTTTTGGTTTTATGATTACTTTGCTTTTACAAATTTGTATCCAAAAAAAAAATGTCTTTTAAAGCATTGAGTTAGCCTGCAGCTAACTGGGCAGCCAGCTACCAGATCCAACGTGGGCGGTCCCGTGGCAAGACCTACGCCGCCTCTGACCCCAGAGCTTCGGCGGGGCTCAAGCATCTCCTTTATTCTCTGGACAGCTTGGAAATGGGCTTCACAGACTTTCATACTATCCCCTACACCCCTTATTTTTTACATTTATTTCGTGGCAGAATGACCACATCTCTAAACATATAGGGGCCAAGACAGTACTGCCATTCCCTCGTGGGAACGAGACTATCCTTGTCAGTCAGCTTTGCTACATCCAAAGACGTTTTCTTGCTCTAAACTCTAATGATGCTTTCCAGATTAACGTGAGCATTTGAGTAGAGCTCCTTCAATACAGATTGATGCCTGCTTCACACTGATTATTGATTAACTAATTATCAGCTACACCCGACCCACCTATGGGTCCTGTTAGACTCCCAGGCAGGCCTGACCGGACCTTCTGCTGGCCTGGGCTTTCCTGTCCCCCAGAGCTCAGCCTCTTCAGGGGGCAGCATCCGTGCTGGGCCTGGAGCGCGGCACCCTCCAGTGGCCGTTCCCAGGTAGGAACTCGGAAGAGGGGTTCTGCCAACACGCCTGCCCTCTTGTCTGCACATCAGGGTGGAAACCCAGCCGGCTAATCGGAACCACAAGGCGTGCACGCCCACACTAAGTAGAGATTGCCCATCGCCAGCAGTACACAGTGCGGGGGCCCCCTGCCCCACCCCAGCTGCTGACCCAGTTAGAGTCACAGAGACCGCTGGAGGGGCTGGAATCACCAGCCTGCGTCCCACTGACTCCTGGTGCTGGGAACCCAGAGACAGAGCTGGAGGTGTGTGGGCGCCAAAGGACAACAGGTTTCTCAGCTCTGGCACGCCTTGGGAGATTTTATGGAGCAGTGTTTGTACTGCAGTTCCTGGCCTGACTTCCCATGGCTAACGGGGAGCTTTGTCTGAGACCCGTAGCGGACGGTAGAGCATGAGGCAGATAACAGTGGGGGTGATTGTCTCAGAAACGCCCACAGCAATCCACACACTTTGACTAATGCGGTCAGGTGTATCCTGGATTCGGGAGACGATACGGCAGGAATAATCACTGTCTCTCCATATCCCTGCTTCTGGCTCTGCGCCCCCCAAGCCCCACCCCCCAGAGCATACATTACCAATGACAGTTTTTTGGTTGCTGTGACTAAGAGGAAGGGCAGGGTGGAGCCATCACTGTCCCCTCCCCGTTAGCCATGCCTGGGCTCCTGATGGTCTGAGGAGGTAACCTACGGTGCCACGTGCCCCAGGTTTCCACGAAACCATCGGAAGCCCCGTCTCGTGTCCAGGGCTTTCTTTGGCGACCTTCCGGCTAAGTCTCCTTGGAGAATCACAGCTCCTGAGGCAGCTCACACGCTACAGGGTTCATTTCTCCTCCTCTGGTGAACGCACAGCGGAAAAGCCCAGCTTCCAGAGGGCCAAGAACCCACGTGGCAGAAGCTGGCCTGGAGTCCCTCTATGTGTCACTGTCCCTCACTAAGTGGGGCTAGCCTGCCCTCCTCTGGGCTCTCCAGCACCCTAGCATCACCTCAAAATGCAGGTCTTCAAGGACCCCCCTGACTCCATGTCTGCTTCAGGGACCCCCTCCAGACTCCATGTCTGCTTCAAGGACCCCCTCTAGACTCCATGTCTGCTTCAGGGAACCCCCAACTCCATCTCTGCTTCAGGGAACTCCCAACTCCATGTCTGCTTCAAGGACCCCCTCTAGACTCCATGTCTGCTTCAGGGACCCCCCTCCAGACTCCATGTCTGCTTCAGGGACCCCCCTCCAGACTCCATGTCTGCTTCAGGGATCCCCCTCTAGACTCCCATGTCTGCTTCAGGGACCCCCCTCCAGACTCCATGTCTGCTTCAGGGATCCCCCTCTAGACTCCATGTCTGCTTCAGGGACCCCCTCTAGACTCCATGTCTGCTTCAGGGACCCCCCTCCAGACTCCGTGTCTGCTTCAGGGACCCCCCTCTCACCTCCACTTCTGCCTTCTTGTCTTTTCCCAGTTGTGTATTTTTAGGTGACTCTCCTTTCCCCATGAGAATGTTTTCCCAAAGTTCGTATCCCATCAAAGACTCTCTTGCACACAGTGAAAGAATTTCTTACTGCTGACCTCTGAGGGCTCCTACACTGGCCACAGTGCAAATCGGGGCGGGGGGGCCTTTTGGAAAGTGGTTTAGTGACGGAATCGAAACCACTAACCTGCTTTTCTTGGATTCATTAAATTTGTCAGTGGGGTGTTGTCACACACCACATCCCTAACCATGGAAGGGGAAGGCATGGGACACGGAAGGCATTATGAGCAGGACCGTGGGGCCAATTGCATGGCTTTGCATTCTTCCTCTGCCACCTACGAGCGCATGTCCATGCCATTCCTCTTCTTTCTCATCTGAGAAATGGAGGTGATGATGACAATGCCACCTCCTAGAGTCCTTGTGAGAACTGAAAGGGTTTATGCAGGTAGAGCACTTAGAATACTGCCCGGCAGATAGAAGATGCTGCCCGAGTGTTGGCTCAGTCAGGAAGGGTGTGCGTCAGGGTCGTATCCTTTCACCATACTTATTCAACCTGTATGCTGAGCAGATAATCCGAGAAGCTGGACTATATGAAGAAGAACGTGGCATCAGGATTGGAGGAAGACTCGTTAACAACCTGCGTTATGCAGATGACACAACCTTGCTTGCTGAAAGTGAGGAGGACTTGAAGCACTTACTGATGAAGTTCAAAGACCACAGCCTTTATTATGGCTTGTACCTCAACATAAAGAAAACAAAAATCCTCAAAACTGGACCAATAAGCAACATCATGATAAGTGGACAAAAGATTGAAGCTGTCAAGGATTTCATTTTACTTGGATCCACAGTCAACGCCCATGGAAGCAGCAGTCAAGAAATCAAATGACATATTGCATTGGGCAAATCTGCTGCAAAAGATCTCTGTAAAGTGTTAAAAAGCAAAGATGTCACTTTGAAGACTAAGGTGTGCCTGACTCAAGCCATGGTATTTTCAATCACCTCATATGCATATGAAAGCCGGGAATAAGGAAGACCAAAGAAGAATTGATGCGTTTGAATTATGGTGCCGGCAAAGAATATTGAATATACCATGGACTGCCAGAAGAATGCACAAATCCTTCTTGGAAGAAGTAGAGCAAGAAAGCTCCTAAGAAGTGAGGATGGGGAGACTTTGTCTCACTTACTTTGGAAATGCTATCAGGAGGGACTAGTCCCTGGAGAAGGAAATCACGCCTGGTAAAGTAAAACCAAAAAAAATAAACCCACTGCTGTCAAGTCGATTCTGACTGATAGCGACCCCATAAGGTTTCCAGGGCTGTAAATATCTAAGGAAGCAGACTGCTACCTCTTTCTCCAGCAGAGCCACTGGTGGTTTCAAACCACCAACCTTTCAGATTAGCAGTCAATCACTTTAACCACTGTGTCACCAGGGCTCCTTAAAATAAAGGATCAGCAAAAAAGAGGAAGACCCTCAACGAGATGGACTGACACAGTGGCTGCAACAATGGGCTCAAGCATAACAACAATCGTGAGGATGGCGCAGGACCGGGCAGTGTTTCGTTCTGTTGTACATGGGGTTGCTACAAGTAGGAACCCCCTCAACAACACCTAACAACAACAACAACAAAACATTGTAATATTTTTGAGATGATAAAGTTACAGGAATAAGAATTCCATGAATTTGGCAAATGTTTGTGTAAAATAATAATTCACAAAAGGAGTCTTAGACTTTAACTACCTATATGGGTTAAATTGACAACAGCGACTTGAAAGGTTAGATAGGAAGCTTAGGGGGCAGTGAGTTTGTTAACGGGGGAAGAACAAGTCAGAGAAGGAAGGTGAGAATTGTTGCACAGGTTGAAGAATGGAATTAGTGTCACTGAATTGTAAGTGCAGAAATGGTTGAATTGTTGTATATTCTCAACAACAACAAAATAATTATAAAAAGAAATGCCATAAATAAATTAGTAAATAAACACTTGGTTTAAAATGGTTGCTGTGAGCTCATCTTGTTAACCAGATTGTGATGTGTCACAGGTATTAACCACGGGCCTGTAATCGCTGGTGTAATTGGCGCTCAGAAACCGCAGTATGATATCTGGGGCAACACCGTCAATGTGGCCAGTCGGATGGACAGCACAGGAGTCCTGGATAAGATACAGGTAAGGTGGTCTGTCCTGCCATGAACCCCTGCTCCCCCTCGCGGAAGCCCTAAACAAGCACAATGATGATAATAATGATAGCAGCCTAGTAAAACAAAAAGAAGAAAGCAAACCGAAGTCTACTTGATGTTTAGTCACATCTTTATGATGGGGGAAATGCTAACTAGTCTCTGGTTTGACTAGTTTCAGATAAGAACTGGAAGAATATGGAAAGAGTCCAGAAACTCGGGTTATAAATATTTTCTCGTGGTCCAGGCTCTCAGGGGAGGTCGGAGTAGAGTTCTGTAGGCATCTGGCTTGTGACCTTCCACAGGGAACACACGTCTTTTGGAGCCTTTGAGGTGAATCTAGCATTGCCAGGAAGAGAGGGAGAGCCAGCTCTGCTAGCGAGATCCCGCTCAGGCGATGCTCTCCACACACCCCCTCTCCTGCCACCTTCACTCTCACCGGAGACTGAGGTGGGGTCCTTCTGAGTGTGGGCTGGAGACCACCCAGCTTCCCACCCTTGAGAGCGGTGGTCTGCCATCTTGGTCACCTAGTCAGCCATGTCCAATGGCAGCCAGCCTCTGAGGCTGTCTGCATGAGATCGCTGCCCAGTCTCAATGCCCAGGGCCACTCCAGCAATCCTGGACAACCCAGACCCTTCTATTTGGGGGGTGAGGGGGCGAGAGGCATGCCCATACCAAGAGCACACTTTCCAACCCACAGGCGAACTGATGCCGCATCTCACACCGGGTTGCCCTGAAGCTGGACGGGAATTTTTCGTATGCTTTACAGCTCAGTTTGTTTTCAAAAACACAGGCTAAACACCAAAAGCAATTTAAGGGAGGCTGGTCAAGGAACGTTTTCTCTCCTGGAGATCGTAAATCCCCCACAGGTGAACGTGGAAAAATGAGTTTACACTCAGCTGGGCCGCTCAGAGGGTATTGGCCTCGCAAAGCTTCCTGTGATTTAGTGCAGATCAGCCGCTGGACCGGCTCGGTGCGCTCGGATCCCGGGGAGGGAATGCGAGGGCCTCTGCCTGTCGGAGATGACTGACGTGTGTAGCTCGGCAGCTGGTAGGTTCGGGAGGAGAAAGGTGTGCTCTCTGTCCCGAGGGCGTAGCTCCCTCCAGCTCCAGCAGCCTCTCCGTTTCCATTTCTGTGCAGAAACAGTAGTGCGATGCCAGAAAAAATAAAACAGGAGGCTAAGACCACTAACAGCTTCTCCGGAGCCCGAGGAAGAGTCTTTTTATTAGAGAGCATGACACTCCCGGCCTGCTATCCAGCCGCGGGGCCCGAAGTCGCCACAGAAAGCCCCCTGCGCATCCCAGCCAGGCCCAGACAGGAGGGCCACCGCTGGTGCCGCTCCAGGCAGACAGCCGCCTCCTCGCATCCATGGTAGTTGTGGTGCCAATCGGCTTGCCGGTTTGGTGTTACAAACACCGGTGGATGGTTCCGCAGTGCCGGCACGCTCCTCAGAGTCCGTGAGCGCCTCAACTGCAAAATCGATTTCAAACCAGTTGCTGTGAAGTCGATTCCGATTCATGACGACCCCACGTGTGCCGAGTAGAACTGTGCTCTATAGTGTGGTCAAGGCTGTGACCTTTCAGGAGCAGATCACCAGGCCTTTCTTCCAAGGTACCTCCAACCTTTCAGTTAGTAAAGTGCTATAATCGTTCACACCACTCAGGGACTTCGCAACATCAACCTCAAAGACGCCAAAAGATGTTTGTTCTCCGTGGGGAAGGCGGAACTCTAACTGCCCCCGAGAACTCGGGCCACGAGAAAACACGTATTCATAATGCAGGTTTCCCGACTCTCTTCACATTCTTGGGCCCAAAGCCCTTCGGTGCTGCTGGCTTTACCCTCCAGCTACACCAGTCCTCCGTCTGGGACCAGCCAGGGAGAGCAGGTCACGAGCATCTGGCACCTGAGCCCTCACCTCCTTGACGTTTTCCTTCCTGCTCTGGGTGGCACAGTTAACGCACTCGCCCATGTGGGCCTCCGGAGGGAGAGCATAGCACGAACTTAGTTCTCAGCAGGGCAGTGCTTCTCCTAGGAATCAGAAGGAATCCCCGGGTGGTGCAAATGGTGAACGCAATCAGTACTGCTAACAAGAGGGCTGGACGTTCAAGTCCACCAGAGGCCCCTTGGAAGAAAGGCTTGGCAATCTCCTTCTGAAAAAGCAGCCATTGAAAACCCTGTGGAGCAGCACAGTTCTGCTCTGACACACATGGGGTTGCCATGAGTCGGAGTCTACTCGATGGGACCTGGTTTTGTTTTGTTTTTTATTAATGGCATTTGTTTATTTGCATGGATAATGAGATTCATGATCATTTGTAACATCATCCACCAACCCACCACTCCAGCTGATCTTCATACACCTTCATTTCTCCAGAGTTCGCTCTGGTTCTCTCACGTGTGCATACATATTCTTCACGGGGTGAAATCATTGGGAAGATCCAGGCTTTGTTCTGTTTTCTGTGGGTGAAGTGACTGGACGTTATTCCCTTACCTCACCTGTATGCTGATCATGATAGCTCTGTGGCTCACCTAACCCTGGAGATCACTCAGCTTCAGCTCTTCGGCACTATCGCAACACGGAATTGAGCTCTGAGTTGTTGTGCTTAAAAAGCTTGTCTTTCTGTGGTTTATTCCCTCTTCAGCTAACTCCTCAGAAGTGGAATCACTGGGTCAAAACACATGAGCATTTTTTGGCCCTCTGCCCTTGAACTCAGATGGCTTATTCAGAGGGGTTGTATTAGTATACATGTTGCTCTTGTTGTTGGCAGCCATTGAGTTGGCCCCCGACTCATGGTGACCCCCATGTACAATGGAATGAAACACTGCCCAGTCCTGCACCATCCCCATGATCAGTTGCAGATCAGACCATTGTGATCAATAGGGTTTTCTTTGGCTGATTTTTCTGAAGTAGATTGCCAGGCCTTTCTTCCTAGTTCATCTTAGTCTGGAAGCTCCATGAAACCTCTTCAGCATCTTAGCAACGTGCAAGCCTCCACAGACAGATGGGTGGCGGCTGCACATGAGGTGCCTCAGCCGGGAATTGAACCAGGGTCTCCTGCATGGAAGCCGAGAATTCTGTCCCTGAACCTCCACTGCCATCTGTGAACTTACCTACTAAACGCCTTTTCATTTTTTAATGTGGCTTTCAGGTGACCGAGGAAACGAGCCTCGTCCTCCAGACCCTGGGGTACACCTGCTCCTGTCGAGGGATAATCAACGTGAAAGGCAAAGGGGAGCTGAAGACGTACTTTGTGAACACGGAGATGTCCCGATCTCTCTCCCAGAGCAACGTGGCGTCCTGAAGAGCCACATCCGCCGGCGTGAGGAGACTGTTTCCGGGGAGGTACTTGCACTTTCAGACTGTAACTCTTGCCGTCGTCCTTGATGTCCGTGCTCCGTGTGCCCCACGGAGCGCTTGCAGACTTGTTTCTGTGACCCAGTGGCATACCGTTTGGTGTCTGATGTGTGCCAAGACCGCCTGCCACTCGCACTGTGCTTACTCCTGAGCGGAAGGAAGAGGAGCGCGCTAAAGGAGGGATGCTTTCAGAGACCGCATGAAGACGGTCGAGGTGAAACAAACAAAAATTCTTAAGGCAATAAAACTAGAGGGTGTATATTATCTTCTGGTGCATGTTATTTTCTGAAAAATATGGTAGCTCGCCAATGCATCTGCTAGTCTGATGTTAAAACACACCGTATTTGTGAATAAGTTGATTCCATCTCCCCATTTGGAGTGTGCTGTGTTCCTCAACGTGTCTCGTTGCCAGCAGCTGTCCACGGCACTGCTGGCTCTGTGGCTCTCGTCACCCCGCTCCGCCGTGTCTCACGCCAGCAGCACACCGCCATCGTCACCACAATTAGTGCTCACCCCATAGGACCGGTTTTGTACCAAACGCGTCCGACGTTTCGATGCCATTGTCATTAAAAGTTTTATGTACTTTGGTTCACAGCGTCTGTATCTTTTTGTTGTTGTTGTCTCCTTTCTTCTTTCTCCCGCGGTCTGCTCCAGAGTCAAGCTTTGTTTTCCCTTCTTCCCTTTTGAGACATGACTGGTAGTTGTTTCAGAAGAACTCTGTGGAAGCCTGTGTTGGGGTGTCCTTGAATAACTCCGATCCAGACAAAGTTTGTGATCCAGACAATTGAGAATGCAACACTCTCGAAAGAAAGAAAGCATGCTCGATGTACTTGGAGGTCTGGTTTTAATTCTGGTATCTCTAGAGACTTCATCTCATGTACTTTGGACATGTTATCAGGAGGGACCAGTCCCTGGAGAAGGACATCATGCTTGGTAAAGTAGAGGGTCAGCGAAGAAGAGGAAGACCCTCAATGAGATGGATTGACACAGTGGCTGCAAGAATGGGCTCAAGCAGAACAACGATTCTGAGGATGCTGCAGGACCGGGCAGTGTTTAGTTCTGTTGTACGTAGGGTTGCTATGAGTCAGAACCAACTCAATGGCACCTAACAACAACAACAGCAGAGAACATTTTCCGGGAAAAAATATTTTAGTAGTAAAAAGATTCTCTGCTACCAAGGGTACCCCTCTGCCCAGCAGTACAGGTATAGTGTGACAGAGCCATCACACACGGACTGTGTGCAAATAATTTGGAACTGACTGTGCAAATCAGTAAGCACATAGTCTGAACTAACCCATACAACCTACTATGTCTGAAGAGGCTTAAGCAGGCACAGAGCCAAAGTTTATGCAGTTTCAGTGAAAGAAAACTCAGAAAATTATGTTTGTGTAAATCCAGCTCTAAGTTGTTGAGTTTTTTTTTTTTTTTTTTTTTAACATAAAGAGGTCAATCTTTGCTGAAGATGGACAATATAGCAATCATGAGCAATCTAATGTTTAAAAACAAAGCTGCAGATACAGGCTTTATCAGTCACCTTGCTTTCTCTTTGTAGCTTTTTGGTGAAATGAGTTCCTTTATGTGGCCTTATGCCTTGGTTCTTTGGAAAAACAGCTTGAGAGATTTTTCCCCTAAACCCTGAGGACTTACCTGTGCCCTAGTCTTCTACTCCAGAGGGTTACTTTTGTCAGGTTGATTGGCATTTCCTGTAATAAGCTATAAACAACTTGATCGTTTGCTACTTTTTGTCTGGTCCTGGGCTGCAGCCTGCCTGGGATTGGTATGCACTTTGCCAGGATTGGTTAATATACTATGCAGATGAGGGGAGTTATAGCCTACTATGCAACTAGAGTGTCTGTGACCTTCCGAGAGGGGATTGGTCAGTTTGTGGCCCTTGTGAGAGGGCCTTGCCTTGAAATTGTCAAGGAGTTTGTGTATTTAAGCAGCCTACCCCACAGAGGTTTTTCAGACAGGAAGAAGCAGAAGGAAGAAAGAAGAGAGAAGCAGCAGAGAGAGAAAGGAGGCAAGGAACCTCCTAAAAGAGCTATAGCATGATCAAGGGCTGTTACACTGAAAACAGAGGGAGGCCTGGAAGGGGCCCAGTGGCAGAGCCAGCAGTGACAGACAGCAGGACCAAGAGGAGCCCATCCTCAGGGTGCTGAGAGAAGGCCTACATGGTTGAGATGAGCTGTGACAGCTGACCTGAACTGAAGAAGGGAGACTTTGTCTACATGCTTCCTGATCCTGATCCTGAGTTGTACCCTGTCCCTTAATAAGCCACTTAACTGTAAGTACAGCACGTGAGTTCTGTGAGATGTTGCAGCAAATTGACAAACCTAAACGGGAGGAAAGAGTGCTGAGGGGAGGGAGAGTGGCCAGTTTCAGAGATGGAGTGGTTCAGCAGCTTAGAGAATGTGGAGGTCTGGGATATATTTGACTTCCGCCTCATTAGCTCATGGCATACGTGGGCAGATGAAGCAGCTGACTTGTTAGGAAGCAGTTCGTGGTGAGAACTCACTCGGAGGTGCTGGTGGTGGTGGTGGTAATGATGTGGTGGCAATGATGGTCGTGGTGGAGGAGATGGTGGTGGTGATGACGTGATGGTGGAGGTGGTGATGGTGATGATGGTGGTGATGGTGATGATGGTCGTGGTAGAGGACATGGTGATGGTGATTACAGTGGTGGTGATGGTGGAGGTGGTGGGGATGGTGATGATGATGGTGGAGGTGGTCGTGATGGTGATGACGGTGGAGGTGGTCGTGATGGTGATGACGGTGGAGGTGGTGGTGATGGTGATGACTGGTGGTGGTGGTGGTGATGATGGTCATGGTGGAGAACATGGTGATGGTGATGACGGTGGTGGTGGTGGAGGAGATGGTGGTGGTGATGATGATGATGGTGGAGGTGGTGGTGGTGGTGATGTGGTGATGGTGGTGGTGGTGATGCCAGTGGTGGTGGAGGAGATGGTGATAGTAGTAACGACAGTGGTGGAGTTGGTGGTGGTTATGATGACGGTGGTGGCGGTGGTTGTGATGACGGTGATGGTGGTGAGGGAGGAGATGGTGCTGGTGGTGGTGGTAGAGGTGGTGGTGATGTGGTGGTGGTGGTGATGATGGTAGTGGAGATGATGGTGGAGGTGGAGGTGATGATGGTGGTGGAGACGGTGGTGAGGGAGGGGATGGTGCTGGTGGTGGAGGTGGTAGTGACGGCAGTGGAGATGATGGTGGTGGTAGAATTGGAGGTGGAAGTGGTGGTGATGGTGGTGGTGGAGGTGGTGGTTGTAATAGTGATGATGGTGGTTGTGATGACGGTGGTGGTGATGGTGATGACAGTGGTGGAGGTGGAGGTGGTGGTGGTGGTGATGATGGTCGTGGTGGAGGACATGGTGATGGTGATGACAGTGGAGGAGGTGATGGTGGTTATGATGACGGTGGTGGTGGTGGTGACAGTTGTGGTGGAGGAGATGGTGATAGTGATGACAGTGGTGGAGGTGGTGGTGGTTTTGATGACGGTGGTGGTGGTGAGGGAGGAGATGGTGCTGGTGGTGGAGGTGGTGGTGATGGTGGTAAGGGAGGAGATGGTAGTCATGGTGGAGGTGATGACGGTAGTGGAGATGATGGTCAAGGTGGAGGAGATGGTGGTTGTGGTGGTGATAATGATGGTGATGGTGGTGGAGATGGTGGTGAGAAAGGGGATGGTGCTAGTGGTGGAGGCGGCAGTGACAGCAGTGAAGATGATGGTGGTGGTAGAGTTGGAGGTGGAAGTGGTGATGGTGGTGGAGGTGGTGGAGTAGATGGTGGTGGTGGAGGTGGTGGAGTAGATGGTGGTGGTGGAGGTGGTGGAGTAGATGGTGGTGGTGGAGGTGGTGGAGTAGATGGTGGGGTGATGGTGGTAGTGGAGGTTTGCGAGGGAGCCTGGAAAGTTGTTGTTAGTTGCCTTCGAGTCTGCTCTGACTTGTGACAACTTTATGGATAACAAAACAAAATTCGGGGCTATTCCTGCCAGTGTATCCACACCATGGGCCAGCTCCCTGCCCATACTCTGTCCCACGCTCTGTTAAAATCATTTATTGAAGCTAATAACTATCCTTCAGCACTGGAGCCTGAATTCAGCATGATTTGTTCTATTATCTGCCTCAGTCAGGAACTTTTTTATACTATTATGCAACTCAGCATTGGCCTTAATCCACCTAAATGTCCACAAGGTCATGGAAGGACGAGACACACGACAAGCTCATCTCTCTTCACCGTCTCCGATATCTGGAACAGGGCACCTTGGGTTTCCATGGGCTCAGATGGCTCCATTTGCCATCTGTAATGAGATCAGTGGGTGTGCCTGGTGGGCTCTTCCTCCTTAGACAGCACAGCATCCATCCTGGCCTTGCTGTAGGCCACCTGCCCTTAGTAGCCACCCACCCAGGGCCGGGTGAGTCACCAAGCTCTCCTGAACACAGTGGCACCGCCTTGCACCCCACAGGGTGCGCTGAACTTGGGTTTGTGGTGAAAGGGACTTGGAAGGAGACTTTTTATTTCCCAGAGCTGTCTTGCCCACCTTACTAAACAGCAGACTTTTAAAAGCAATCAAAGTCACTGTCAGAGCCTGCCTTTCGAAGCTCCGTGCCTGCACAGGCCTCTCACAGTGGCCCTGGGACCAGCAGCATCACTTCCAGGAGGCCCGTGGTCCCTGTGACCCTGGAGTAAACACTGGGATTGTTGTCAGCTACCATCGAATCGGCCCCAACATGGCATCCCCATGTCCAGCAGGATCAGACCTTTGTGATCCATGGGGTTTTCATTGCTGATTTTCAGAAGTAGATCGCCAGGCCTTTCTTCCTAGTCCATCTTAGTCTGGAAGCTTCTCTGAAACATGTTCAGCATCATAGCAACACGCAAGCCTCCAATGACAGATGGGTGGTGGCTGTACATGAGAGGCGTTGGCTAGGAATCGAAACTGGGTCTCCCACATGGAAGGTGAGAATTCTACCGCTGCCTTTGTGACATTGGTAAAAAAAAAACAAAACCAAACCCATTGCCATTGAGTCGATTCCAACTCATAGCAACCCTGTAGGACAGAGTAGAACCGCCCCATAGGGTTTCCAAGGCTTTCATCTTTATGGAAGCAGACTGCCACATCTTTCTCCCGTGGATCGGCTAGTGGGTTTGACCCACTGACCTTTTGGTTAGCAGCCGAGTGCTTAACCGCTGTGCCATTGGTAGGCAAGCAAAAATGCTTCCTCAAAGCTCTCCATAAACTTTATCTCTTATAGGAAGCCTTCTCTAATTGCAAATGCTTTGAGTCTGAACCCCTTACAACCTGCGGTGTTTTAATGTATCTGTGTAGAAATGTGTAGGCTTTGTCCTGAGTCATTCTTCTTCCCAACTCTGTGTTCCTTCCTAAGATGCAGTAACCACTGTTTCCCTTTTTTTAGATGTGGCGCGGTGGTTAAGAGCTACAGCAACTAACCAAGAGGTCGGCAGTTCGAATCCACCAGGCGCTCCTTGGAAACCCTATGGTGCAGTTCTACTGTGTCCTATAGGGTCACTATGACTCGGAATCGACTTGGTGGCAATGGGTTTGTTTATTTATTTATTTTTGGATGATCAGGAAACATCACCGACTAGTGGTGGGAATTTGTAAATCAAAACCATTTCTTTTAGTCCAGATTTCTCTTCGCTAAGGTGACTGCAGTAGGCATTCATGTATTGGTTCTAAAAGATGTAAAGCTCTTGATGCCCGTGAACCAAACCAGTTGCCATTGAACTGACCCCCCAACTCCTGGTGATTCCATGTGTGTCAGAGTTGAACTGTGTTCCATACGGTTTTCAATCGCTGATTTTTCAAAAGTAGATCACCAGACCTTTCTTCTGAGGCACCTCTGAGTGGACTCACACCTCCAACCTTTCAGTTAGCAGCTGAGCATGTTTACCGTTTGCACCACCCAGGGACTCTGATGCCCATATAAGTACATTTAATTTTATCTTATTGCCTAAAAAAAACCCGAGAACTTCTGAAATCCTGCCCACTTCAAGTGTGCTTCTTAAACGTTAAGTACCAGGAGATTAAAGCACTATGTCTGACTTAAAGTCAATTAAAAATAAGTTAGTTTGCTGTTAATTTATTGCATCATTTTCAAATGAGGGCATTTCTTACAGGTACCTTGTCTTTTTTCATAATCAAGACTGAAGCAAGAGTAATTTATTAAAATGTCTATAACCCAAACTTCATATAATCTCCACTGTTATTATAAATATGGTTCAAAGCACCCAAAAGCATTTCAAATGATCTACTGCTATTTGTTTGAAAAGAATAAAAGGTACCTACAGTGAAAAGCCACTTGGAAAAGAACAAAGGGATATTTAGGAATCACGCAGCCTTGAAATTGCTGCAATTCAGTGCCAGGTTGTCTGAGAATTCTGAACCATAAAACCGATGAAATTAATTAGCTCACCTGCCTGTTAACTGCTCAACTGTGGGAAATTAAATCACAAATCATAAAAGAAAGAGGGATTATGCTTCCAAGGGATCAGTTCATTAAAAATACAGCTGATCTCTTAAGACTTGAATGTTTTCAAATTACCTGCAAAGGAAACATCTCCAACTGAGGTTGAAAGCGACGGTTCGAGTCCCAGTCGTGGCCTGTGTTGCTCTGAGCGGGAGTGATCCGTGTAGTGCCTGAGTGACTGCTACGCCCTACTAGCTCCTTATCTCCCACACAAACTCCGCAAGGTCTCCCTGGGACCCTGCGGCTTCTTACTTGAGGAGGGACAGAGGGAGGCATTGCTGGCCACCGAGGCCACCGTCCTTACCCGGGCTTCTGCCCTCGATTGTGTAAATTCTGTCCTTCAGGGCTCTGACCTGGGAAAGAACACTGTAGTATCTGGAGTTCAGAGGCACCAAGGGCCGCTTCCACTGTTCCTCTGCTCTTGGAGAGAGCAAAACCAAAAAACAAACAAACAAACCCATTGCAGTTGAGTCAATTGTGGCTCGAGGACAGAGTAGAACTGCCCCCCCATAGGGTTTCCACAGAGCAGCTGGTGGATTTGAACTGCCGACCTCTTGGTCAGTAGCTGTAGCTCTTAACCACCGCACGCCAGGGCTCCTGGAGAGAGCAGGACAAGTTAAAGGCCATTTGCACTAACGGGTAGTCACCGTTTCTGTGGCGCGCACCCTCCACATGCCCCTTCTCCCCAAGAACACTTCCAAACGCAGAGTCGATGAGCTGAGCCCAAGGCCACGTTAGAAAACGAGAACTGAGCCTTCACTTTATTACGCACGGTGCGCGCAATGACTCGCTCTCCAGCATCATTTGATCCAAATAACGTCACGTAAACGTCGTCCCCCTGCCCACGCTTGATAAGCATTAGCGGCACAGGGCCAGGTTCCCCACGAGGCAGCAGGCAGGAAATTGCCCACGTGCAGGCCTCCCCGAGATGGCCATGTGCAGGTGCAGTAAGGCCTGGCACCTCCCCTGACAGCCTCACTTGGGCAGGTTCCCCGACGTGTCCTTTGGGTCTGGGGCTTCAGGCTGGAGAGATGTGCCCGAAGCCAGGGGCCTTGATGCTGGGGATGTCGCTCTTGCGGTAGAAGTCGGCCTTCACGTGGTTGACGTGGCCGTGGTCCCGGTTCAGCGGCTCCACCGGCTGGTGGATGCGCTTCCCATACACGGAGGAGGTCAGCACCCCGACGGGCCGCTCCCGCTCCTGTGGGGGCACCCACCGCACACGTCACACACACACGGCCACCTCGGCTTGGCCCACCCCATAGGCAGGGTTCTGAGCTGCATCTGCCCAGAACCCACCAAGGTGAATCACCTGGGCACCTGCACACCTGAACTGACTCCACCTGGCCACTTCTGTCTACTCGGCACTGCACCAGAGGGGCCTCCTTAAATGCTCTGCTCCAAAACAGACAGGCTGCTGTGGAGTCAGCTCCAGCTCATGGAGACACCACGTGTGCCAGAGTAGACCTGTGCTCCACAGGGTTGTCAATGGCTGATTCTTTGAAAGTAGATTGCCAGGCCTTTCTTCTGAGGCACCTCCGGGTGGACTTGAAAATCCACCTTCTTGGTTAACAGCGAGTGCATCCACGTTTGCACCATTCGGGGACTCTCCTGCTCCGAGCTCTCCACTGCCCTCAGGCCATTCCAAGGAAGAGGCCAAGGTCTTGCAATGGTTGCAGGTTTAAGACCTGGGCCTAGGTACCTCTCACTTCATATCCGTATCCTCCCTTTTTCCTGCCCTCCTCCTGCCCGCCTGCCTGTCAGCCCTGCCCTCTTTCTTTCCCCAAACACACAGAGCACTGTTCAGACCCGGGGCCTCTGCCTGACCGGTTGGCCCTGCCTGGGCACATCTCTGCCCCTTCCTCTCGCAGCCCCCTTCTTCTCAGTTGTCCCAGTCATCCCTGGGCCTGGCCACCCGACCCTGCTCAGCCCTCTCCCCTTAAAGGGCTTCATTTGTCTGCATACCAATCACCACTACCTGGAATTAGGTTCGTTATGTATTTGCCTTTGATTTTTCAGTCTCCTCATGGGAACAGACGCTCTAGGAAGGCAGGGATTTTGTCGTATTCCCTTTATGCCTGGTACACAGGAAGTGCTCAAGAAGTATTTGTTGACTAAATGGACATAACAAACAAATCTTTTTTGGAAGAAGTGCAGCCACAATGCTCCTTAGAAGCGAGGATGGCGAGACTTCGTCTCACATACTTTGGATATGTTATTAGGAGGGACCAGTCCCTGGAGAAGGACATCATGCTCGGTAAAGTAGAGGCTCAACAAAAAAAGAGGAAGACCCTCAACGAGATGGCTTGACACAGTGGCTGCAACAATGGGCTCCAGCATAACAACGATTGTGAGGATGGCGCGGGACTGGGCAGTGTTTCATTCTGCTGTACACGGGGTCGCTATGAGTCAGAATCGACTCGACGGCACCTAACAACAACAACAAAGGGATATACCCCCCAAAAAACTAAACCCACTGCCATGGAGTCGATTCCTACTCATCGCGGCTCCATAGGGTTTCCCAGGCTGTATGTATATCTCTGCGGGAGGAGACTACCACGGCTTTCTCCCGCAGAGCCGCTGGTGGTTCTAACCACCGACCTTTTTGGTTAGCAGTCGATCACTTTAACTGCTGCGCCACCAGGGCTCCTTTAAATGGATATATAAGTAATGCTTAAAAAAGGAGCCTGGTAGCACAATGGTTAAGCACTCGGCTGCTAACTGAAAGGTTGGCAGTTCAAACCCACCTAGCGGCTCTGCAGGAGAGAAGACCTGGTGATCTGCTCCTGCAGAGATTAAAAACAAAACTGAAACCTGTTGCCATCAAGTCACTTCTGACTCCTAGTGACCCTACAGGACAGAGTAGAACTGCTCCATAGGGTTTCCAAGGCTCTTCGAGTTCATGGCAGCACACTGCCACATCTTTCCCCCAAGGAGCAGACTGGTGACTTCAAACTGCTGGCCTTTCAGTTGGCAGCCGAGCGCTTAACCACCATGCTGGCAGGGCTCCTTCCGGCCTCGAAGCCCCCATGGGGCAGGCCTACTCTGTCCTATGGCCTTGCTGTGTTGAAACCACCTCGCTGGCAGCTAACAACAAAAACAACCGTGCTAAGAAAACAGTTGTCACGAGTCCGTTCTGACCCATGGCGCCCCACATGTGCAGAGTAGAACTGTGCTCCATGGTGTTTTCAAGGCTGCGAACTCTTGGAAGCAGATCACCAGGCCTTTCTTCTGAGGCACCTCTGGGTGGACCTGAACCTCCAACCTTTCAGCTAGTAGCTCGTCCCTTAACCGTTTGCACCACCCGGAGGCTTTTTGCTTTGCTCTCGCTAATTGCTAAATTCTATACAACAAAACAATCATAAAAATTAACACATAATAACATGACAGACTAGACTGAGCTAAAATAATAGTGTCATCCTGGTTTCTGGGGACAGTAAGATACAGGTGAGGCGCCACATTCCCCGAGTTACAGGAAGCAGATGGAACAGGGTATGACAGCATGCATTCACGTTGATCTGTTAGCGCCTTGTGACTGTTCCTGTCTTCCTATTACCTCCTCGTTCACACGCAGCCCGATGCTTTTCGCGTGTTCTCGGTCATCGCGGTGCGAGATCTGATTGTAGTCTAGGCTCCTCTTGAAAACACAGTCGTAGAGGGAAATGACACCTGTCTGGGAAGAAAAAGAAAAGCCGTGGGTTGATTTGAGAACTGAGCCTGGGAAGCCTGATGAAGCAATGCCGACCTGATGGAGCGGGGGGCATGGAGAGTCTGCGGACTGATGCCAGTGTGCACATGGTGGGGACTGGCCGTGACCCCGAGCAGGGAGGAGTCACAGCCCAGCCCAGTAGGGGCAGGGTCTCTGCAGGAGCTGGGGGTGGGAAGGGCCACTTCCACGGGAACTTTAATTTCTTCAGCTCTTTTTAAGGCAGTTGCCAAGAGTTGACTTCAACTCATGATGATCCTGTGTGTGTCAGCAGAACTGTGCTCCATAGGGTTTTCAATGGCTGATTTTTCAGAAGTAGATTGCCAGGCCTTTCTTCCGAGGTGTCTCTGAGTAGACTCGAACCTCTAACCTTTTGCTTAGCAGCTGAGTGCGTTAACCATTTTCCTGACCCAGAAACTCCATATAATCCACATAAATAGATGCATGATAGATGTGGAGCCCTGGTGGCGCAGTGGTTAAGAGCTCAGCTGCTAACCAAAAGGTTGGCAGTTCAAATCCACCAGCCACTCCTTGGAAACCCTATGGGGCGGTTCTACTGTGTCCTATAGGGACACGATGAGTCAGAATTGACTCGACAGCAATGGGTCTGGTTTTGGTCTGCCCCTTCTGAACTGAGTAAGCCCCCCTGGGACTCTGTGGCTTATCCTGGGGGGAAGCCCCTGAAGAGGGAAGGACGGGCCTCACACAGAATGAGGTGCAGTCACTGTTTGAACGTGCAAGGAAACGCGATTCCATTTTGTTCCCTGAGTTGGAGGGAGCTGGTGTAATGTGCAATCTTACAAAAATGCCCGTTTATCATTCAAACCAGGTCCCCTGAAACACTCTGGGGAGCAGTGCCTCTGAGGGAGCAGCGCTGCTCGCCTCACAATGCCCGGATCAGCTACCGAGAGCCCTCAGTGCTCAGAATAATCTTTAGTAGGAATCCCACCGCCGACGATGTGACCAGAATCTTAGACATCTTTTCTGGTGGGGGTTTTGCATATTCAGAGCTTTCCAGAATGAAAAATGAATTTTTTTTATCATTGAAATATAAGGAAAATGTCATCACCGGGCACCCTCACTTAGCAACGTGACTGCGCATTTCCAATACCTAATCAAACTGAGTAGCTTTTCTGTATTTCAATGATTAATTTTCCATCTTTTCCCTCATTCCTTTATGGTTTGAAGCAAAACAATATTAATTAAAACCAGTCTGGAGTGAGATGGCCTCATAAAGCAGAGCTTCTGGATCTGCTGATAGCTTGCTATTAAAATCCCTCAAGGCATCTCCTCTCTTTCACGTATGCTGCTGCTGTTAAAAAGCAAGCAAAGCAAAACCCAAACCATTTACTGTTCTCTTGTGATCTCCCTTTGTCCCTCTGGGTTTTGAGTATCGTTAAAATTTAATGTGGCGTCTATGGATTGACCTGTGTCCCCTAAAATGGAGGCATTGCAGTTGTAACCCCTGTTCCTATGAACGTGACCTCGTTTGGGGAAACAAGGTCTTTCTTTCATTATCATTTGGGTCAAACAAGTTTATACTGGGATGGGCCCTAGTCCTAATTCCTTCCTGAGTACTGTCTTATAAAAGGGGGTGGCACACGGGGGGAAGACAGGTGCCAGGTGACAAAAAAGGCAGGTGCATCGATGAGCAGCAGAGGAACAGCAAGGATTGCCGGCAGCCACCAGAAGCCAGGAGACAGCCTCAGAGAAGGATCGCCGTGGCCAGGACCCTGATTTCGACTTCGAGCCTCCAAAACTGTGAAAAAACAAATTTCTGTTCTTCGAAGCAACCCACTGTGTGGCATTTTGTTATGGCAGCTCTAGGAAGCTAAGACAAGGGCCTTGGACTGGTTGTGGTACTTGGCGACCTACCATCCACTTCTCTCGTGGCAACCCCATGCCTGACATGAAACATCACTCTAGTCTGTAGACTGGGTGCTTGAAGTGTGGTGGAGGCCTTCAGATTTCAACCTCTGTTATGGATTGAATTGTGTCCCCCAAAAATATGTGTATCAATTTGGCTAGGCCATGATTCCCAGTATTGTGAGATTGTCCACCATTTTGTAATCTGATGTGATTTCCCTATGTGTTGTAAATCCTATTGCTAGGATGTTAACGAGATGGATTAGTGGCAGTTATGTTGAAGAGATCTACAAGATTAGATTGTGTCGTAAGCCAATCCCTTTTGAGATATAAAAGAGAGAAGCAAGCAGAGACACATGGGGGACCTCATACCACCAAGAAAGCAGCACCGGGAGCAGAGCACGTCTTTGGACTCAAGATTCCTGCTTTGAGAAGCTCCTAGTTCAGGGGAAGATTGATAACAATGTCCTTCCTCGAGAGCCGATAGAGAGAGAAAGCCTTTCCCTGGAGCTGGCACTCTAAATTCGGACTTCTAGCCTACTAGACTGTGAGAGAATAAACTTCTGTTTGTTAAAGCCATGCACTTGTGGTCTCTCTGTTACAGCAGCACTAGATGACTGAGACAGACTCCAAAGCACATTGTTGTTGTTGTGTGCCATTGAGTCAATTCTGACTCACAGCAACCCTACAGGACAGAGTAGAACTGGTCCGTAGGGTTTCCTAGGCTGTAATCTTTATGGGAGCAGACAGCCAGGTCTTTCTGCCGTGGAGCTGCTGCATGGGTTTAAACCACCAACATTCTGGTTAGCGGCGGAGAGCTTAACCATTGTGCCGCTAGGGCTCTTGCCCAAATCTCATTAGCCCCACTCTTTTTTATTCCCATACAAAAATTTATACATACATTGTTATGTGACCCTAACTGCTCTCCGCATACTGTGACAGCACACTCCTCCTTTCCACCCCTGATTCCCTTGTCCATTCATCCAGCTCCTAACCCTCTCTGCCTTCTTATCTCACCTCCGGACAGAAGCTGCCAATTTAGTCTCTTGTATCTACTTGAGCTAAGAGGCACACTCCTCACAAGTATCACTTTATGGCCCACAGTCCAGTCCAACCCCTGTCTGAAGAGTTGGCCTCAGAAATTGTTTTAGTTCTGGGCTGATAGAGAATCCAGGGGCCATGCTTTCCAGGGTTTCCAGTCTCAGTCAGACCATTGTCTGGTCTTCTTAGTAGAATTTGAGATCTGCACCCCACCTTTCTCCTGCTCCATCAGGGACTCTCCGTTGTGTTCCCTGTCAGGGCGGTCACTGGTGGTAGCCGGGCACTATCTAGTTCTTCTGGTCTCAGGTTGATGAAGTCTCTGGCTTATGCGGCCCATTCTGTCTCTTGGGCTACTACTTTCCTTGCATCTTTGGTGTTCTTCATTCTCCTTTACTCCAGGTGGTTGGGACCAATGGATGCATCTTAGATGGCCGCTTGCAAGTTTTTAAGACCCCAGATGCCACTCACCAAAGTACGATGCAGAACATTTCCATAATAAGCTTTGTTATGCCGATTGACCTAGATTTCCCCTGAAAGCATGGTCCCCAGACCTCTACCCCTGCTACTCTGTCCCTCGAAGTGTTTGATTATATTCAGGAAACTTCTTAGCTTTGGTTTAGTCCAGTTGTGCTGACTTTCCCCGTAACGCGTGCTGTCCTTTCCTTCACCTAAGATAATTCTTACCTACTATCTAGTTAGTAAATAACCCTCACCCTCCCTCCCCACCCTCGTAACCATCAAAGAATGTTTTCTTCTGTGTTTAAACCTTTTCTTGAGTTCCTATAATAGAGGTCTTATGTAATATTTGTCCTTCTGTGACTGACTAAATTCACTCAGCATAATGTCCTCCAGCTTCCTCCATGTTTCATGGCTTCATCATTGTTCTTTATCATTGCGTAGTATTCCATTGTGTGGATATACCATAATTTGTTTATCCATTTGTCCATTGATGGGCACCTAGGTTGTTTCCATCTTTTTGCTATTGTGAACAGTGCTGCAGTGAACATGGGTGTGCATATATCTATTTGCGTGATGGCTCTTATTTCTCTAGGATATATTCCAAGGAGCGGGATAGCTGGATCCTGTGGTACTTCTATTTCTAGCTTTTTAAAGAAGCCTCAAATCAATTCCAAAGCGGTTGTACCATTTTACACTTCCACCAACAGTGTGTAAGTGTTCCAGTCTCTCCACAACCTTGTCAGAATTTATTATTTTGTGTTTTTTGGATTAGTGCTAGCCTTGTTGGGGTGAGATGATATCTCATTCCAGTTTTGATCTGCATTTCTCTAATGGCTAATGATTGTCAGCATTTCTTCATGTGTCTGTTAGCCGCCTGAATATCTTCTTTGGCGAAGTGCCTGTTCATATCCTTTGCCCATTTTTTAATTGGGTTATTTGTCTTTT